CTGCAGGTGTTTAAGGCATTTTTTAATCTACCGAAACTTAAAGTTTTATTTAATAAAAATAAATTGAAATTCTTATTTAAATTTTTAAACAGCATAATCGACTGCCCCGAATTATTAGACCGTATTAATTTTAAAATAAATATACAATCCGATCACGCGATAAACCTATGCTCTATCTGAAAAACATTACAAAAAATAACTTATTAAATTCTCCGTGCAATATTTTAATATCCCTAAGTAACAGTGGAAAAGATCTCGATTTTTTTTTTAAATTGTATCCCTTAACGCATTTTCTTTACAATCATAACTGTTTGAAACTATTGTTATATATAATAATCTTATTTATTCACATAGTTTAACATTATATTCTTACACTCATGGATTGTTATTATCTATTATTGTATTGTGTTTTGATTTTAATTGTCTATTATAATTATACACATTAAATATTGTAACTATGTATACACACACCGTAACGAGCAATCTGTTCAAAATCGATTTCCCCCCTCCCCCCCCCCCGTAAAATAAACATTATTATTATTATTATTATTATTATTATTAGGTAGTATTATTAAAACGATCAATATTGGTCGATCAACCGGTGTAACAATAATACGACGGTCGTTTTATTTTTCAATGTAGGAACCATCGCAAACTGTATTTTATGTTTACGGGCAATTATTCGCAGTTTATAAAACGCGCACGTGGAATAATTTTTTTTTTTTTTTTCCGGTCCATTTACTGCGATCACGTAATATTAATTTGTCGTCACTTTTTATACTGCATGCGGCAGCTGTGTCCTTTACATTACTCCTGATAATAATTGTTTTATCTAGATGATGATACCTGATGGTTATTGAAGATAAAAAAATATCATTATTTTGATATATTATACCAAAAAACAAAAAAATGGTTTAGTGGCGTAGGGGGCTTAAGGTAGCTATGATCCCTCCTCATAAAACGTGTTCGTGTATGTATATTTAAGGAAGAGGATTTGGTCAGAAAATAGACTCAATTGGTTAACCGTGGCTAACATAAATAAAAAAAAAAAGAAGACATTAATGAATATGATAAAATCACTGCCTTTGCTTAAAATGCTGTTATGAGGATACAGCTGTCAGATGGGTGCGATAATTATATAATTACAAGGTATGTCAAGACATTACGCATAATATTATATTCGCAATCCGCTTTTTGTGTAATGTATTGTGAATACAATTCTTTAACCTCCCTCCCCCCCCTTATATACATATATATGTATATAAGTTTTTTTTTTAATCTATAGATGAATCACACTTGCCTCAGATAATCATCGTCTATGAAATTTCAATTAAATGTATTTATTATATCTTTATCAAAACGCGATTTCGGAATCATTTTCAAGATAAAATGTAATTTTTTCCGTTTCTCGATTCTTGACAGACGCAGTCGTGACGACGGAAAAGCATATTTACACGGTTTTTTTTTTTCTAGACGATCATTTTTATTTATTCGTATAGAATATTAATCGCGTGCGACTACAGTATAGGTACGTGCCGAGTATTGCGAACTCGAATAAATCGCGAACAATTCGAACGAAAATAAACTAATTGTATTTGTCTTCGGACATAATATTGTGTGTCGTACTTGTAAACACGACACGTGGCATAGCATTAAAAAAAAAAAAAAAAAAAAAAAAATACTAATAATCGTAACAACAAACCGAATAATGGATATTGCGCTGCGTAAATAACATAAACAAACAGGATGAATCCGTCCGGAATAATATCGTCGCGATATGAAAAGAAAAGGAAAAAAAAATTCGTGTCGGCGGCAGGAGAGGTGGAATGCCGAGTTTATACAATATTTTAATAACGTCGAAAACAACGGTCGTCTTAATCGGGGTGGAAAAAAAAAAGACATGCGTATTTGCAGGGCTCGGCATATAATTTTAAAATGACTGAAATCGATCTCGGCGTATTATATCGTTTGTCCGATGAATAATACGCGACGTGTCCCCTCCCCACCCCTACAGTCGTCGTACGTATAATAACGATCGACGAAATCGAAAAATGGCCAAATTTTTTCAATAAAAAAAAATAATAATAATAATAAATATTTTTTTTTTTTTTATTTCGTCCACATAAATTCGCGGGATTTATTATAATGATTACCATTAATATTTTCTCCGACAGACACGATATTTTTAGGCGCCTTTATCCTGTTTACCGGAGTATAAAATATAATGGCGAGAGTCATAATTTAATAATAGTATCGGTATAGGCGCCATCTTGTACGCCCGGAGGGTTATAATGATCGTCCGTTAGATATTAGAACTGATGATTTGGAATACGATGGATACGATATAAATCTACTAAATATGTCGATTTTCGAAAAAAAAATTCGATATGATTGATAGGACCGCGGTACACGGTATACCGTCAGTTTTTTGTTTATTGCCCGACAACCGATAGTATATTCAACATCGATATTAATCCTGTAAAATACCTAACCAGGGCCGGATCTAGGGGAGGGGTGCCATTACTGCGGGGCGCTGTTATATTTTTGTTCTAAATAATAAAAAAAAATTATTGTACTTACACGATTGCGATATTATCGGAAACAATAAATTACGCGCAGCGACTCTCGGCAGTTTTATCACTACGGATGTATGTCATCGCGGTGGCCGTTCGTTTTTCATGTAAGTCGGCCTCCAGTATATTTAGCACTTCAATAATACTCCGATACTCTGGCAATTTTAAAACACATTACAGTATAAATATTTATATTATATAAGATACCAAATTAATAAATATTATGTAAGAATCGGCAGCAGATCTGAATTTTAATCGGCCCGGGAGAATTACGTTTCACCGGTCCAATTATTTGTTTTATACATCCGATACAATTAACCAGCTAATCTTAGTTCGTCTGACAATCATATTATCTTAAATCGTGATAATTTTTCACTTTGTAATCAAAGACTTACGTCTTTCCCGATTTACGTCTTACGTGATATACCCGGTTATAGATACCACACAAATTGTTGAAGATGGTAATGATATCTTAAAATTGTTCACGCGCAGAAAAAGTGTTGAAGTTCATAACACCTATATCAGGACTTATAAGGGCCGTTCCATTTTTAAAAATCGTTTTGTGGACATCCGATGTCACCCTCACAGATTAATAATATCTTCCCGAATTCGGGAAAGGTGATTTGACAATGTAACCATATTTTCATTTCTTCACACACATTGTATCACATATATTCCAGTTTTAAACTAACCGTGATTACCTTGCCTTTGATTATAGATTAAGTGCGACCATCGACGCAGTAATAATATTGTATAATTTATTGTTTCAGCGTGGATTTTGGGATGGTGGATGTGTAAAATCGTGCCGTACATCCAAGGAGTTTCAGTGGCCGCATCCGTATACAGCTTGATTGCCGTATCAGTGGACAGGTTTGTAACACTATAATATTATTTATTATTTTTTTTTTTTTTACGGGTTGATGGAATCTATATATTTCAACACCAAAGTGTATTTAAACTAAAACTTCATTTATTTATGGAATTTTTAACATAGTTGCTATATCTATTTGAAAATCAAAAATGGGTAGTGGTTTCACCCACCCCCGAAAATAAAGGTGAAAAAAATAAAGATAATGTTAGAAATATAATAATTTTAGATTATACGATTCCAGAAAGTTTTTAAAATTTTTGAAAAAATAAATATTTCATAAAACCTTTGACTATAAAACGAAGACGCTGTATGTACACGAGACTTTCGAGCATGCTGTTTATTACACGCTAAAAAGTGAGAGAAGTCAGGCCATCGTCGTAACGTTTTAAAACGAAACGAAACTAAATTAATTAACTTTCAAACATAATAACTGGCGGTAAACATAAAAAAAAGTACACCTTGCCCTGATCGCATGGGAGAGAAAACATTTATTAATTATTTGCCAGTATAATAATATTCTGAAAATTATAATGTAACAACACGAAAATCGTTACTATAGTAACTTGAGTTTTTTTTTTTTTTTGTGACCATCTCCGACAGTCATGCTAGACGGTGACAACTGTTAGAGTGAGAACAAGAGAACAAGGAAAGACGATAGCAATATATCTTTCTTGTACATTCGTAGCCACGTCCCCTTATGATAATATACTAGGTAATATAGATGTGACCTATCATTATTTCATTGTCTATATGAATTAAACCCATCAAAGCAGTTGATACGAATGTTAAAATATAATTATTTCTCTATGCCCAACGGATATTCAACGAGGTGTGAAACAGTTATCGCTAAACTGATTACGCTATTATGTACTGGAACATATAATTCTAAACTAGCGTTCTTAGTGGATTAATCTAGCATTAATTTCGTCACGATATACGGTAAAATATTTGCTGTGGGTATAATGTAAATGTTTATTTTAAACCGTGTTCTATGACACGAATCGGAGATTAAAGTTCTAATACTTAGAGTGCTAATATCGTTTACTGGTTTTTAAACGCGTGCCGGCTGAATCAGATAGTTACTATACCAGTCATGTCAACAGCAGATTATTATCATAGCTCGTTGGACATTCATACAGGTGCTATCTTTATTCGTGATATACTTATAAGAGATAATAGATAAGGTTGATTCTTCCGATGGTAAGTGTTAGTCTACAGTGTTACCTGACCTAACCTAACATTACCATCATCTGCTATGATAAAAATGTTAAAAATGGTTCATTGTGAATTTTCAATGGTCGGACACACTCATTATAGTAACGTATTTCCGTTCGCCAGCACTAATAATTATTCAACACTAAATGCCGGTACAAGAAAGACAATTAGTGCTCTATGTCCGTCCGCTAACTTCACGGACCTTACAAAATTGAAATAAATCGAAACGTGATGCATGATATGTCGTTATGATAACGAATTGTATATTATTGTAATCGCGTATAATATAAAAATGTACTCGTTTTCGAATAAACAATAAATTATAATGCGGGTGGCCTGTATCAGTAGTGGACGACAGTGCTGACGGGCACCACCGGGTGAACAGCTACAGGGTGTACGGCCACGGGGCGGACTACTACCGGGTGTACTGCGACCGGGTTGACGGCTACAGGGTGGACGACGGGGGCTGCTACCACTCGAGCAACGACGGGCGGCGACGGGTGCGATTGGACGACGGTGTTTGAGTGGACTACGTTGGCCGGATGGTGGACGACTGCCGGTACGACCGGTATCGCGACGGCCACGTAGGGTGCAGCGTTGGCCGCGGCCACCAAGCACAGTAAAAATGCGATCTGAAAAAAAAAAACCCACAACCAAGAATGAGTATATGACTTTACGAACAAGGATCCACGAGGCTAGTCCACCTATCCTGTAGTTAAACCAAAGTAAACTCCGAAAATTTCGAAATATCCGACAAAATCGAACAGTCTGTAAATAACAACCACAATATAATAACTCGCAACGTTCAAAAGTTTACCTGTATAAATCTGTTTTCATTAAAATTGATGGGTAGTTCGTTAAAAACAAGTGCAAATAAAGCTGCCTTTGTTATAGGCTAAAGGCTTTAATATTCAATTTAAAGAAAGACTGAAAGTTGGAGTTTATGAGCGACGTCGAGTATAGCAAACGTATGCGAAATATCCGCGAACAGTAAAATTCCTATAACTTTTTTTTTTATTTTTTATCGAACCGGTAAATAGTTTGTGCCTGAAACTACGAGTTATATTAAACTATATATAACTACTACTCGTATATTAACCATCAGTTCGAAAATCTATGTGTATACCTACAATCATATTATAAGAACGGATATTATTATAAAAAATTTAATTTAATTTTCGCTATCCATGCAAAAAAAAAAAGCTTGAAATGTCACCCAATGATTTTTTTAATTGTAGACTGCGAGAATTAAAATTACGTTTTAGATTTTTTTTTTTTTTTTGTTACCTTTTTTCATTATTAGCACATTTATTAAAAGTAAATATAATTTTTTTTTCTTTTTTATTCGATTTCGTATGTACAAACGATCAGCTTGTGGACATGTGCGAATGTTTAGTATATAGAAGGAGAAACGCCTAGAATATTACCGGGAAAAAAAGTGACGATTAGAGGTTATAGGGTGTGATAAACAAAGCACATACGAAGAAGATGTGAAGGTACGATTTGTTCGTGTATACATTTTGGTACCTACCTACTTGGGATTTAAATATTTTTTTCATTCTGATTGTCGCTTGGAAATTCAAAAAGATCGAGTTATTTGATTATCATTATTATTATTATTATAGCCGACACGTGCAATATTTTTTTTCACGCCAAGGTCTAATGCTAAAACACTCCAGTGCGTGTGTACCGTTATTGTTTTGCGACCCTCGTTGACCTGTTTCGCATGATACACGGAAGATATTAAACAATAACACGACGACGAAATTGGACGATGTTTCGAAAACCGCAATTTCAGCAACAATTATTATAGTGAGCTCGACGGGGTTTTACGCCGTGTGGTTTTGGAGGCCGAAGCGAAACAAGAGCACAGTATATGCTTTTAGGTACATAAGAACCTAACCTAACAAAGGTGGGCAAGTTAATAAAAATAATAAACTAGATTGAATTAAGTTAAATAAACAGAAAACCTTCAGTTAAAATCACTACCTACTTTTGATTTTCAAACGGGAACCTATATTTAAAATTCCATAAATAGATAGAGTATTAGTTAAAATAAATGTCGGTGTTGAAATTTTTGATTTCCGTCAATCCGTTGACGAGATATTCCACTTTTAAGTTTGGGTTGGAGGAGAGTAGTGGAGTATCATTCTTGTGGCGGTACGGCACACGGCGTGTTAATAATGTACCGCTACTCTCCTCCAACTCAAACTTAAAAGTGGAATATCTCGTCAATGGCTTGACAGAAATCAAAAATGTCAACACTAAAATGTATTTTAACTAATACTCCGTTTATTTAAGGACGTTTTCATATAGGTCGCCGTTTAAAAATCAAAATTAGGAAGTGGTTTTGCCTCCAAAAATAAGGGCGACAAAAAATAATACAAATATAAAACTGTAGAACAGCCTGTTACTTATAATTTCTAGAAAACAAATTTCGGAAAAAATTAGCACTTTTTGAGATAATGAGTGTAATGTGAATGTGTTTTCACGCAAAACCGTGAAAACAGTAAACTTCGGATTTCGAAACATTCTACCATATTTCTTCATCAAGTCGTTAATTCAACTGAATGTTGGTGAACATAGAATATTAAAAGTTAAATTTTTAGAAAGAAAACTTAAACTAGTTATGCTTATGTTGATTAGTTAACGATGTGAATAATTAATTTGTTAAGGTAGAAAGTTTTAAAAAAACCCAGTAAACGTTTTAACTTAACTTTTTAACTAATCAATTCAGCTCTAATCAGTTCACCTTTGCCTAACAATCTGTTGTTATAACATTAACACGACCGAAATTCTCTGTCATCGGCCCTGGAAGTTTTTATCCGGTCGTTCGATTGTCGGAATCATCGAATATTATATTTTAAACACGTATATACTCGGGCGTATTTCGCGATATTCCGCAGGGTAATGTTCTATCGACTTCTCAGCATCCAGACGAACCTCCTCCTCATCCTCATCCTCATGCTACGTCTCTCGAAGATGTCCGACACTGTGCAATAATATTGTATTTGATGTGTCGGAATAAACAACGTACGGATGTTTCAGGTCCAAGGATAGAGAAACAAAAAAAGAGAGTTGATTCTGCTGATGGATATTATGTTTATGCGGATACATCGAGTTTTTTAATTTATATCTGCATGTAACGATAAATCATTTTTAGCGAAATTATATTTATACGATTCAGAGCGACATTCATACCTTGTTTTTTACAGTTTTAATAGAAATTTACACTTAAATAAACTTATAAAAATATTACAATTTATTAAACTTAATTTGTTTTTAATTTTTTTTCACCACTAAACACAATATTTTATAATTGACATAATGGAAAATGTTCAAGCATTTCTGTTCCACCAAAACAATATTTTCTACATAAAACCAAATAATAACTAAATACATTTCGAAAACGTCAAATGCCCATAAATAGCTTAAAAATTACCGAATTACAATTAAAAAAAAAAAAATCGAAAGTAATGAACTTGTAATTTCGTAAATTTGTGCGTTTTTTCTCGAATTTTTCAAATTATTATAATAACTATACGAGTAAAATCAAAAAGTGACTTCTTCGTTGCATCGACTAAATCCATAATTCAAAATATCGTTTTGTCGTTTTTTTTTTTTATTTGAGCAATATTTTCGGTAGAAAAGTAGTGTAGAAACAAAAAAAAAAAAAAAAATTAAAAAATTAAAAAACACACATTCTAGTAGAACCAATAGAAATAATATCGTAAATAGTATAGAAAAATAAAATTGCTCGATGTATTGAAGTCCGCACGTCATATTCGCTTTCAAATTAATTGCAACTATACTTAATAGTTTAATTAAAAAAGAAATAACGAAAAATCGAAATCTCCCCGGTTAAAAAAAAAAAAAAAATTAATAAAAAAACCGGGGATTAGAATTACGGTTTCTTTCCATGACATTCATCTGACATTTCAATATTCGTAAGAGCATTCGTTACATAATAATAATGGCGATTTGGAATAACAAAACTCAAAACTATACATCGGTTTAAACTGACTCACGGGTAGGATAAAAAATAATTATTTTCATCGATGAACGTACGTCATACGGTACGGACTTGAAAGATTATCATTATCGTTGTAGAGCTCACCGCGATGATTCATTTATGACAATAATAACAGAACAACTATTAAAATATCGGAAAGATTCACGAAAAAAAAATTATAAGGGTTTTCGGGTATATTCGGTACGAATGTCTAAACGCCTGTTTATTTATTTTTGTTTGCTCGAGGGTCGCCGAGGAAAACTATTATGATAATTACAATTATTTACACTATTCAAATTTCACAATAGAACACACGGGTGGCGCTTTTCACCTATTTGTTTTCATTCAATTCCGACACCACGGCCAAAACCGAAAATGAATATGGATAAAATAATAATAACACAAATTGGCACGGGCAACGCCGTGCATGAGACTACTGAAATAGTTTTGAATTTCACATTATTTGCGAAAATCGATTTGCAGCTTTAGCTCTTGACCGAACAAACAACGAGTAAACAATTGTGTGTATTACACTCTTAAGAAATAAGTGAAAAAACAATTCTGAAAAACAAAACGGTTTTAGATCCGAAGCGAAGATTCTGATGGTTTTATTATAATATGTGCGATTTTTTCCTTAATGTAAACAATTGTTCGAACACAGAACTTACTCCAATCGAGAACTTACAGCATATTTTGTAGCATTCTGAATATAGTTGCCTAAGGATTAAATCGTCTTTTGATTTTCAAAGCAATTATCATAGTAATTGGGAGAACCCGGAAAAAGAGACAGAGAGAAATAATGGTATAATTTTTTTCAATTTTGATTTTTTGTTGTCATTTAGTTTTGAAATGTTGACATGAAACGTACGTTCGTCTATTGTAGACGGGGTAAAATTATGAAAATATTTTGGCAATTTTTGAGTTATTTACCTATAGACATGGACATTTTCGTTTTTTTTTTTTTTTACGTAGTTTTTATTTGCACGTAGGTACTACGTGGATATAATTGTTTGACCGAACAGATGTGCTTGACAATATTTAACACGACGTTCATTATAAGTTTTACTTGGTGGTAAGAAAAAAAGAGCGACGTCGCGCGGAAACGCCACTAGAGCGCGACGGTCGTACGACGACGGTCGCTGTCCGACCGCCGCGTAGACCGTGTGCCGTTCTCCCGTGTCGTAAGATGGCGCTACATTCCGTTCGGCTTTTAACGGCCGGCGTTCGAGAGTCCGTTTTCGACCACTTTCGACACAATAATCGCGTCGATCAGTCATGGCACAACTTTACGGATAACGACCGACCATCCTTGGCCCCCGGCGACCACCGGGCGTCCACCGGACGGCGCGTGACGACAATTACGAAACCGCCGGGTAACCGGGTGCGTTTGGTACCTTACAGCATATAAGACCTGCCGACCGGCAGTACGTTTGCATCAGTAGTGGTTACAACTTAACCATTACATTACCATATGATGAAGCAACTACATGAAAATCATTAATGATTAATCGTGTTGCGCCAATGGGAACTTCTCCAGAGGATCCCATTGGAATTCTGATGCGCCCCGAAACTACTGATGCCACACAATCTTTTAAAAAATTGAAATCCACCTGTACCCGCCGTATGCCTAACCTCACGAGTGGTATGCCGGTAACGTATGAGCAGTCGTACGTTTGTCCCGCTCTCGTCGCCGGCAATCGGACGTACAAAGGCGCGTCCGAGCGGCGTTTTATCATTTGTGCCCGCCCTGTATCAGTACTACTTTTTCCGTCTTCTGTCGGTGTGGCGATAAAAGAAATTCAAACGCCTTTTTGACAGAGTGTGTTTGCTCGTCACGTACGCCGGACGGACGACACGTCCACCCGGCTCGACGCGCTCGGCCGTTCTTTGATCCGCGCCGGTCGAAAATCGTGTCGCGTGAAACGAATTTTGTGACGTCGCGCAGCACCAGATGTCCGGCGTGGACACCACCCGGCTTCAAACGAGAGTAGTTTTCCAGGTACCCCGGAAGGGAACTCCCGTACGCAGGGAGCGCCATTTAGAAATCTAAACGTATCCCGACTGTTTATTCGAAACGGGACCGGTGGATATGCATGGATTTTTATCGAAATGTACCATCATTATTTTTAAATGGGTTTACCGCCTTGTTAATACAAGAAGAAAAACCAAGGTGTAAAACTGTCCTGATGGGTGCGCCACTGTTGTCGGTGGGCGGGTACGGATAAATCACCGCTAACGAGATGCGATTCTGAGCCGTAATATTTACGATTTTCATTGAAATTTGACCTTGAAAACAGTTATGGACAAAAATTACCACATCGCGCTAAATTTTTTTTATTATTTTTTTTCACCACCAGGTAAAATATTTACAACGAACCTGTTTTTTTTTTTAAATTTCCACTCGTTCGTGTATTGGCCAAACAGTTATGCCCGTGCACAGTGCCTACGCGAAAAAAAACCGCAAACATAAAAAGCCCAATGAATTTTCGTCCGATGTCGTTTTATCAACGTGAAAAACAATCGTTTATAGCGGGTGCCCGGGAAACGCAGTGACGGCGTTACCGTGGCGTGTTTATGGATTTCCGAGGTAACGGCGCGGTTAAAAAACAACAATTTCGAGCAGCGCTTACACCGCGATCGTTGATGTCCGTTAAAAACGATTAATTATTAAGAGAGGACCGATTTAGATGACGTGAACGACGGTCGGGTCGTTATTGTGGGCCGCGGGTTCCAAGTCGACGCGAATAAAACGTCGCGGCGTATTATTTATACGCTTGTATTTACTTTGATTTTCCCGCGTTCGGCAAAACGGGATCGCGATCGTCGCGCAGACGGCCCCCGAAAGCAAAAAAACACCGCCGGTCGCACGCGGGCGGCGGTGCGGCGCGCGGTGCGTGCGGCGTACGGATCAACGAATTGTCGTTGTTGCTGTTATCGGATCGGACGCCGGGCGAGGGCTCACGTCCGGGAAACGTGCGTGCGTCGCGGGAATCCGTCGTTCTTTTCCCGTCTACGTCTCCGTCTTCCGTCCGTCCGGACGGACGGCGCGTCGGACACGAGTGCGTACCGTCACCCCTCACCCGTAAGGAGGGGTGGGGGGAGAGATTTTGTTCGGCGACGACCGCCGGAAAATGATCGGCAAAACGATCCTACGACCGGGTGGGTTTCGCAACGTGTGCCCCGCGTTGTGCGTGAAATACGCGGCGGCCGACTTTTGCGCCGCGACGCGAGTATGGCTACCAACGGCGGCCGGTGCACGTTGTACGTGGACAACAACACCAGTTTTATGTGAACCGCGCGAATGTTTTTTTTTTCTTTTTTTTCTACATAGGCGCGGGTGACAAACCACCGACAAACGATGCGTGTCGTCGATAAGGTCTAACGTTTTTTCATTATCAGTTATCGTTATCAGTTACAGCCACGGTCTGATATTACTAAACGTTATCATTGTTTTTTTTTTTTTTTCGAAATTGTTATCAATTATTTTAATTCATCGCGATTGTACACCAGACAAACGGACAGTCTACAACGTAACAATATACATAAGTCTGCGACAGTGTGATCTGCAACCGCGATGTCTATTTGTATCGAAAACTACAACAGTTTAAGAACGAGTGTTTTAAAATGGCTTTCGGTTTTTAAAACGAGATCTCGCGGTATTAACGAAGATTCCGATGACAATACGAACAGCACAAAATCTACAAATAATCTGCATTCACGACTACAATTTAAATCACTTGTACGATTTGTACGACATTTGCTACTTGTAGATCCAGGTAGATAATTTCTTTTTGATTTGAAAGATGTGTTTGTTGTATTTTAACGTAATGCTTAATATTTTGATAGACTCGGATTTGCTGTCAAAAATAGACGCGATAAAATGAAAATGTTGCTTCAAAACGGTCGCTATCATCAATCAGTGGTAATTTTTAAATATCATTAACTATCAAAAATCAAGTTATTAATTATGTTAGGTACTTGTTAACCATGTTAAATTTGTTGTTTAATAGTTTAAATTACAACATGTTAGGGCGAATAGTGTCCGGTGAACCACAATTATACATTTAAATTGAACTTGAACTTGGTGTAAAGGAATAAAGTTATGTTTATTTTGTTACTTTTATATGAAAAATACAATTTAAATTTGTTTAGCGTTTTTTGGTACTCTTAATGATTTTAGTGACATACCTGGTAGATGTGTGCATGTGTTTGTGTTTGTGTGTTTTATTTGGTTAGTCAATTATGCAGACCAACTAAAGTCGTTCAAAATTGTTATTCTTCCCGTGAATGTATGGTGTTTAGAAAAAAAATCAAGTACAATAATTATTAATTAAACACTAGTTTGGTGAAATTATTATGAACAGTATCTCCGTTAGTCTGTTAACAAGTATTGCATATATTAACAACACACATCTTTTCAGTCCAGTTTTATTATAATATAATTAATACAATCGTATAAGAAAGATATTCGTAGTGAGAATAAAAGTTAAAAGTATAGATGGCCAATTAAAATATTTATAGGTATAGAAAATTAAGTACTTCAACAATTTCATTGAACTGCATGCCATTTTTATAATACTCAATGTTTTTATCTCAATACAAATCATAATCAAACTCATACCATTTAAATATTTATCATTTTTCAACAAATTAATATTAAAAATTTAAAAAATATTTGATAGTATTATTACTATTACAGGTTTTACTAAAAATGATCAAATCACAAGTGTGACTAATGAAACCGATAGGATCAGCTTGAACCTAGACAAGTGTTTTGAAAATATTATTTCTAAAGGAAACCCATAATGGCAGAAAATTTGTGAGATGTAATGTATGGTTCAGAAATCCTAATATTGTACTATTGTATACTAAACAAAAAATCATGTTCTGGTCATTTTTTCATAAGGTGGAACATTGTATAGAACTTCAAACGTGAAAAATCATTTGAAGTCTAGAAAACATATTGAATATGCAAAAACTGGTAAGCTTAAAAAATTACCTACTTCTGAATTAATTCAAACATTAGAGATCCATTAAGAGATCAGATTTCAGTACTTAAAACAAGAATTGAATCATTACAGAACACTGCACTTCTAGAAGGTTGGAAAGAACATTTTTAAACCATGTGTTTTAGATACTTCAAAATCTGCCAAAAATGATGGTTGAACTTATTTTTTATTAAATGGCATTTTATTTTATACAGTTATACCTGGGATAACACAACGTCAACGAACAATTCATCATTTATTTATCAGTGACTATAGACTTTGAAGCTATGCGCACAGAGATAATAGAATCCTTGTTTAGTTATTTTAATGAAAACTTTTATGTAACTCAATGGATGGACTTAAGACTTTTAAAAAGTTTTAGTAACCATTATACTGATGTAGAATTGAATTAAAAAGTTGTCAACATAAGATATGCCTTGATTTTCCTTTAATTGATTTTTTGTTGTCGTATCATGTAGTTATCAGTAAGTAAAGAATTTTCAAATGAAAAATTATCTATAAATTTATTATAAAAATTTATAAAAGGTGATCAATAGAAATTTCTGACAATAACTTGTGCACAAATTTTAGCAGCAAAACCTCAGTACAGATGTCGAAGAAAGACTTATCTCATACTATAACATTCTTAACCCACTGTTAGTCGCATCGCAGTCTTTTCAATCGCATTATAATTTTCAAGTATATAGTCTCATGTTGGTCGAAATGACTGCAATGTATATCACATTTTTATTTCAGGTTACTCTATATATTAGGAATTACATTTGTTTAGAACATTATTGTATAATTTTTAATAATGTTATTAAAAGGTATTCTGAGTATCAATGATTGAATTATAAAATGTATATCTTTATTAAATATGTAAAAAAAAAGTGCGGTCATTTTGACCATAGCGCGATTAACGCCAGGTTAAGACTCTGGTGAGATCACAGATATCACCAGAAACATATAAAGATTGTTTTTATGTAAAAATAAATATGAAAACTGTTAGCAAATTTAACCCTCTTCCATCTGTATTATGTTGTTTGCTGAAAAAACCTTGGAAAAATTCACCCTCTGACTAAAACTCAGTGATGGTATAAAGGTGTTTTTCAAGATGCTTATGAGCGAAAAAATAACCATGACAAAAATGATAAAACAATTCATTTTTAAAATTTGAAATGAACCAAAGTAATTGTATATGGAGTTAATTTCTAGTATAAAATATAATTAAAACTTTGATTTTGTATATAACTATAAGATAAAATACCAAAGACAGGATTTTTGATCTCAATAAAAGATTAAAATTAGTAAAAATACTCATTAAAATTTGCTGACTTAATTATTAAGTTTTAAGTGTGATTTAGAAAAAAAAAATATTTTTTAACTATTTTCTATTGTTGTAGTATTTTTCAATTGTTTGGCGAATGTAGAATAAGTATATCAAAGAAATTTGATCAAAAATAAAGTACTTTAAAATTTGTTATTAATTATTATATTTTATAACTTGCCATAAAACTTGTTAAAATAATTATACCGATTTAAAATAAGGAATTTAATTTAAGGGAACGTTATTTAAATTAATTTGTTGAAAGAATAACGTATTTAAATACTAGTAAAGTACACAAACTAATTAATAATATGTAATATTTTAAAAAATTTTTTTAAGTTTTTATTTTACTCATCAATTTCTCTTTGATAAAGTTTAAACCTGATAATATTTGTATAATCAGCTATAAATGGTAGAAAAAAAAAATAGTAAAGTAATAACTGTATCTATGGATATAGAGGCAAATTTTATTTCGCGACTACGAGTTTATTGTTATTATTATTTTCACCATTTTTCAGATGATAGGTACAATCAAAGTTATTCGCGACCCGAAGGTTAAGAAACGCCGGTCTATCTGATCGTGGAGCTTTTTTCAAGGGGGTTGGGTGAGCACGCAGTAGATGTTTACAAAAAAAAAAATGGCCCGACGCGTACACAAAACGTAAATAATATTATTTCTCTTTTACACCTACTCGTCAATTATTTTATATTTTGTTCGGATCGATTTTTGAAATATATATACAGGTACCTAACTGTAATCGCGGTATACGTCGCATCATCCATTTCGTAAAGTACCGGACGTCCGTATTATACTTCACGAAAAGTATGTATAGATATATATATAGGTATAGTTGCCTACCTATCCGTATCGTGAATGTCATTTTTTTTTTTTTTTACGCGATATGAGCAAACGATTTTTTATTTTATTATTTTTTTTTTTTTTCATCCACTTCGCGAAACGCGGTTAATATTGATTTCGTACATTTTACGGTACACTTTCTTTCTTTCTTTACTCAATATACGGACAAATTTTCACGGAATGGATACATTTTTCGCACGGTTATGAACGTCGTCCGTTATATGATACACTGCAGCGCGAACCTTTCTATTCGTATGTTTCGAAACAATAAACCGTAAATCGTTAACAAATATTAGCATTGCAATACACGGCGAACGCGCGTTTACGCGATCCCATCGGTAATATATTCTCGTTTTTAGAAAACTCCAAAAGCGACGACGTGTCTATTCGCTCCTCACGCTATACCGAGTGATACTCTCGCACACGAAACGGATGAAGTTTAACGGTCGTTTTGAAAAGGTTTACCGGCGCGTTTGCCGTATCCTTTGTACCCAACCCAACCCGACTTGCTCTAAACGTCGAACAATTATTGAACTAACGTGTTCAGACGTTCTGAAATATTAACACGTTTATACAATTCCTATTCGTTCTTAAAATATAAACGACAACAAACTGTTCATATTGCTTTTGGATAGAGAAGTGACTACGTTTCTCGAATTGTAATTTTGTTCTGGAATAATAATTATGATAAAATATTACATTATTGACTATCATTGTTATACAACGGTATGTACGGTATGAGGAAAACCGTATTTCCAAAATAGAAATTTGTTTAAAATTAAAAGCGCGTTTATAACGGGAAAAAAAACTAAGGTTTTTTCGTTTGTATTGTAACCCTGCTGTTATAATAATTGTTGTGAGTTTTGAGTGCTTCGAAATACGAAAAATAAAAAAAAAAAACAAACAAACAAATCAATTGCAATTTTCCTGAAGTTTTTTGAAAAATTAATATCCGCTTTGCGAAGCCAAGTCGATTTCGCTTAAATACTACGCGAATAAATTGTCCAACACTGTTTTCGAAGCGCACACGGTTATGTATTGCGCTTTGTATTTACGACGGTACGACAAACAAATAAATTACTGTGATTAATATTATGGGCTAGCATGTAAAAACGGAAATTGTAAAAATGCCGCGACGATTGCGGTTGTCGATAGAGGTACTTAAAGTTCTGTTTAATTCTCGAACATAAAAGGTGTAAATCCGTCGGTAAAGTTTTTAACCACTATTTTAGGCGTACGAAAATTAGGTTTATTATGAGCTTTTGAGTGTAATTCCCTTCGCTAGTTGACGCCGACCGAAAAACAAATAAAATCAATTAACTCCGTAACGTTTAATATTGCCGTGTTTGTTAAAATTTTTTATTTACTTTTACATTTTGAGGTGCGGAAGTACGGCGCGTTCTTTTGACGGTAAAACGAGAAGTTATTTGGTTAGCAGTATTAATTGTATCGTCGTAAAGTCGATACGTTTCGATTATTATATGCATAGGTATGTGAGTAGGTGCCTAAGTTTTGGAACGGTCCATAATAAAATCGAACGAGTGTGGTGAAATTTTTATGGGGCGAACTGTTTAAAATGTCGGTAAATATGTTTCAGACAAATTATCGTACAGCCCGGTAATCGCGCGTCTTCTCGGGTGAGAACATTTTTGCCGATCGAAAAACACGTGTTCCAAGACAACACAAAAAGCTAATTTCTTTTGGAAAAACTATTGGAAATTTTGTTCAAACAAAGTACCGCTGGGCGGAAAACCTACGTCCGTAGAGGTGTGCGATCGTACGAAAACCGGCCGTTATTCTTTAAGTGGGCCTTATGGGAGACAACTTCCCTCCTCCTGGAAGAGAAAAATAGCGAATGCAAAATATCAACTCCTTAAAAACCACATTGTTACCCGCGTGTATTTCTTCTCGAAAACATTATGATAAATCCCAACACCGTAACAAAAAAATCACCCGATATATTTTTATAATAAATCAATTTATATCGCCTAAAACTTACAAAAATACACCGAGTATTATCGCTATTACGATAAATCTCGAACCCAAGGCGGTGATATCACAATTTTCGGTTGCCGGTCGGTCCGATTTATGATCGGTCGCTTAACTTGATGACAACGTTTCGCATTGTACCTCACACGCTATAGCGTTTAATTGAAAAAAACACCCCGAGAGTGTAGATTTCGTTTTCAGCCCGCGGATCGCGGAGCCACGGTACACTCGAACGCCCACGACACCTATTATGGACACGTCGGATAACGTAACCCGACCCTTTGAACTTGACCGTACTGTGAAAGCGAGAAGGGTTGAACTTTCTGGGTTTTGCTACGTTTTTTCCTAATTATCTTGAAAACTGCTTGGAAAATCAAAAAATGACCCCCTTTAAGTACCGAAAGTTATTAAATTTGTTAATTGTTCGTCCCGTATTATAGGTAGTACATAAAGTCGATAGTCTGTTAGTTGATTTATTTTTTCAGCTCTCTTCGAAAATATTATACATCGACGCAGTGACGGCGAGTATGTTTTCAAAAATAATTTCTATAGGTATATGTGTTTTTCGTGCACTCACCGTTATCCTCATCGTCGTTGTCGGCGTCTTCGTCGTCGGAACAAACAGCGGCGAAAAAAAAACTTTGTTAATTTTTTTCGTTTTTGTTCTTTTGGTTTTCCACTCTGGGCAAAAGCGGCGATTGTGTCGGCAACGCACGTCCCCCGCAGGTTTTATACTCTCGACTTCACGCGGTGTCAAGTTTATCAGCCGCAGAGCCGCGTCCCCGATAGCGAACTTGTCACCATTTACGGGAGTCCCGCTGAACTTGACCCGGTAATACGTGCCGCATTTTTTTTTTATTTACTTATTTTTTTTCCGCTTTCTCGTCTTGTCCGAAACCGGACTCGCAGTACATATTAAAACGTAACGCGCTCACGTAACAATAATAACTGTTATCGTTTCGGTCGTCTTATAATCCTTGGCCCGACTGCGGTGGGCACCGCGGAATTCCACGTACGACACCGCTCCTGTATTAATTAATGTCGCCACTGACGATGCAGTTTTCTGTTATAGATCGGCGCAACCGCCGCGTCGGCGCCACTCGACGTCGTTCATAATGCACCGGGTATTATCATTGTTGTTGTTGTTGTTGTTGTTGTTTTCGTTTGGAATTTATTGTTCCGATTTTGGAACAACGGGCAATATTACCCAGGGTTGACCGTGCACGGTGAAAACGCGTATATGGATTAATACGCATTGAGTAATACGTATTTGTATTATTATTTTTTTTTTTTCTAAAAAAAAATGCTCTTATATGGGAACCGGATTGGTTTGAAAATACAATATAAAAAAAAAAAAAACTGCACGTACACTAGTGTGCTCTCGGCAATTTGTCGTGTACGGTTTGTTTGTACTTGTAATTTTTTTTTTTTTTTGAAAAAATACCTACTGCGCAGTATACCGTATAGACGAACGATATTGCAACTGTATATTTACGGGTGGGCTATTCTAGCGACACGTTTTTGCTATCGATTGCGTCGACTGCAGACAATGAAACAGAAAAAAAAAAAAAAACAAAACAAACAAAAATTCATCATATTAGAAACTTATATTTTCAACATTTTTTATCGAGTGATTAACTTTTTTCGAGATAAATAGACTATTTTTTAATAGTGGACTATAATCATTTAAATATTGATCGTAATGCAATAACGGGACCGGATTAAGGCCATATAGTCGGTGGAAGTCCGTACCTACTGTTGACGAAGATCATTGAACCAAATTCATTTTTTTTAATTCGGATGTATTAATTTTTGTTTTATTTGTTTAGTATTTACGACAGTAATCAGTAGTCATTATCAATGTTGAACATCTGACAATTTCGATAAACGTTTCAAATAAAGTGTCACCGGTCGAAAATTCTGCATCTTTTAATGACGTGACACAATCTGAACATTTTCGGAGAAAAATAAACATTTTTGTAAAACTGATCGCTTCTTCGCTCTACACTGAGAATAGAATTAAAAAAAAAAAAAAATAATGAAAATGAAAAAAAAAAAAAGATATTTTTCGCTCTGCAGCTCGGGGCTACCGGCCTCGCCCCTTAATTCAGTACTCTGCAACAGTTGATTATTTTGAGAATACTTTACACGCTATTGCATAGGACATACTGCAACCTAATATCACCCATTAATATCTATAACCATGTTTTCTCATTTGACTTATTTATAGGTAGTTTTGTAGAAATACACAATAATACGATAGTGGGCCGCCGCAAAGAACTGCGTTTTTACCACAGGGTAAACGGTACAGCTCAAAATCGTATTTGCGAATTGCAACGCTATAAACGTGAGTCTAGTACAGTGCGCATTATATTTCTTTTCGATCGACACTAGGCACAACACCGATATTGGAAATTGATTAAACCGAATACGCGGTACAAGAATAACTTGTCGATTTATTTTCAGTACCGTGTGGTAGACGTATGTACAGGACGATTCATTACACTTAAAATGGATATGAAATTTATTAGGTATCCTTCCCTACTGCCGCTGTCTATTCATAAAATTTAGTAATAAATCTGGATTCACAAATTTCACAGTAGAGCCATTTTAGTAATATTTGTCTAACACGTGGCACGTGGTTATTGAAATTTCAAATATTAATTCCAGAGAGAATTGAAATATTTCGACCAAAATTGTGATGTTAAAAAATCCGCGCAATTCTATTTTGATCAGAATGATATCAAAACGTGAACATTTATGCGAGTGCACATTATACTGTGTTTTATGGTTAGACAGCTGTGCTCATTCGGTATAGATTTCAAACTTCGGTAACACTCATAAATCGTAAACGGTAAATCCGAAATTAAGATTGTTTATGCCTATCAACATTTTGATAATATATTTAATGGTCTTAAAAAGCAAAAGTGTATACAAATAGTACGCGAAAAATGTAGGAGTAAAAAATTTAAAAAACAGAGCTCAAACGATTGAAATCGAATTCGCTTAAAAATCCTGTGATAAACTGACCCCCCTGTATACATAATAATATAACAGTATTATCGCGGGCGAACCGTAGAGGTTCTAGAGTCACGTACCATTGACCAGACCTCACAGCGGTAATAACGCCAAACTATACGTATATACTCACGACCTATTGCAGGTGCATCTATAACCAATAAGAAAATACACAAACGGAAAAATAAAAGCCCGTAGACCAAAGGTAACACGGACGCGTGCACGCGATTTTCAATGAGCCGCCGTCGGGCTTAGGAGATTGGTTTTTTTTTATGCCGGACGTTTTCAATAATTCGCCGTGCCGCCTGCGGACAAAGACCGCAGCAGCGTGTTACACACGACGTACACATGGTAAAAAACAAACAATGCCGTTTTCAAAAACGATTGCAATGTTTAGTATCTCGGTGATGTTGATTTTAAATGGAGAATATCCAGAGGTGGATGGGATATAAGTTCCGGTTCACTGCGCCCAAGGATTTCAAATATTGAAATATTTCTTGACGATTTTTAGCCAATTTACCCGTTTTAAAAGTTAAAACCGTTTGCATATATCCTAGTTCCTTTTGGACACTCTGAATATTGTACGCATCAGTATTCTATTATAATTTACGCTGAATTGTCTGCATGTTATTTTATTGAGATACTACTGTATACATTGCGCCCGTATAAAATAAAATAATTAGAATATCATACAATCTAAACACGTTAACTGACAGACTGTCGTTGACCGATGTTTTAAATATATAAAATATATTTATTATATGTATTTTAAATTCTGAATAGAGCGAGGAACGTATTGGTTTTACAATGATGTTTATTTTTATATATTTTTAATTTTTTTTATCTGAACAACTCTTCCACCTGCAATCTTGTTCCGATTTAATTTCTTCTGAGCACTTTTTCTGAAAGAAAATCCAACTGAGGCGGTACTTTAGGGAGGCTAATTTTTAATTCTTTCAAGTGTTTTCCTAATAAAGGGGGAAAACTGGTACAACATCAAACAAATATTAGTAAAGTTAATGTTTAATTCATAGGCAATTATTTCACCATAATATGACGGACTTATATACTGTTAAAAAACAATGCTATCAACTGAACTCCGTTCAAAATATTTTTTTCGTTAGAAATGGTTAATCGTTGCGTACAGATATGCATTAAATTTTCTCTCTACTACCTTTCCAACTTCTCACCGAAAAAGTGGTTCATCTACGCGCGAAGTATGTCCGTCTTTTTTGAAATTATTTTAATACAAATTTAAAGTTTACCTCTTTGTTGATTTTTGTTTTTATTAACAATTAAAATACGGGACAAACTGACAGTTCGTCGACTTAGAATCGGCGGAATGTATTGACAAAATTGTTCAAAAGAGGCAAAGAGCGCGTTTGTTTTTAAATCTAACACACATTTCTTTAAAATGAGTCAATTTAAATAAAATAAGTTTAAACAAGTTTTGGTCAGTTTGAGTTAGAAAAAAAAATATATGATATTTTGGTTGATACGTTACATTTATTCTGAGCCGACCTGTCGTATATATACTGATTTTACCATTTTGATTTTAGATTTCAGGTCGACAATATTTTTATTATTGAACGATTCGAGAGAAAACAAAGTTATGGTGCATTTAATTTTGTTAGATCGTGTTTCCGTGACTCCGTGTACTTCTGACGCACAGGAATCTGCCAATTCGGTCGACGGGAAATCAGTGTTAGGAATAATAATAATATTACCACCCGCAAAGGTCGCATAATTGTATTATTTTAAACCAATATTTTCGCTTATCGTGTACGACCGTCGTCGTGGCAAATATCATTAAATATTATTTGTATTACTACGCCGATAATAGTGGCGCGCTCTTACGGAATTTATCGATAAATCAATCGTAACTCTCGTAACTTGGCTAAGAGCGGCGGCCAGACCCAGTACCCAGACCAACTTATTCAGGGCGATTATTTTATCGTGAACCAGCAATTTTCTCAAAAGCTTTAAAGTTTTTCCTGTTTTTTTTTTATCTTTTTATCTTTTATATCGGGAGGTTTTCGCAAGCGGTTTCTGAATTTAATTCTCTATTTTGGAATACTATTATTACATTTGAATTATTATTATTATTTTGTTGTATTATTAATTTCCAGTCTCCTCGTTCACTGCGTGACAAATATTCGCTACAGATATTACTAGAGACAAGCTTGCCGTCGCGCGTCGTTTTACTTGATTTCTGTAGCTGCTATAACGCGTCGGTAAAACGTCTCAAATGATTTTCGTTTTATCTGAATGTAGGAAAAATCAACGTCTTTTAATTGGATATTTTCCCGTTTCCTTTTCAGTCAGTCTAGTTTAAAGTCTTGAAATGAAAATCTGGCCAATTTCGCAGATTATATGACAGTATACACTCGCGTGTCCATTATATATGACGTACACAAACTATAAACTATATTATTCAAATTACATCTGCAGCGAATATTCGTGCGCCATCAAATATATATAAGGTCGGGTATTTTAGAATTTCTTTTTATTTTAACACTTGACAGAAATCGTATTTCTAAGTCTGCAGTCGTTCAATTTAAATCGTAGTTGCTCGTGTACAAGAAACCAAACAAAAAAGGTAGATAATGGGGTTGGGTGCAGTTACTGGTATTGGTGAAAAGTTGGAAAGGTAGGATATAGAAATTAATTTAATATATATCTGTAAGCAACAATAAACCATTGCTTATGAAAAAACGATTCTGAGCGGAGTTCAGTTGATAGTTATGATTTTTCAACAATATATATATATATGTCATTTTATATTAAAATAATTAAATAGGCTTTATATATTTTCTTTGATAAAATTTGTTTAATGTTGTACCAATTTTCCCAGTTTTCCTAAGTTTTTCCCGGTTTTTTACATTTTCTGGGAAAACTCTTGGGAAAATCAAAAAATGACCTCCTTAATGTGTACCCCCACGTGCCAGTTTTCTTTCAGAAAAGGTGCTACACGTAGAAATCCGAGCAAATCTTCTGGTAGAAAAGTTGTACACAGAAGATAAAATAAAAAAAAAAACATCTTTGTAAAACTATAGGCTTCTTCACTTCACTCAGAATCTAATATGAATCTCATTTAACATAGAAATAATAATAAAAAAATAATAATTATCGTTTTTCACGTAATTTGCTACATAAATAATATTGTAGAATCTTTGAAATCGATTGTTTTAACATCGTGAACGCAATAAAAACTAAGTAATTTCGCATAAACGGTCAAAAACCCACCTTAGGTACCTATATTTTTATATTTCATATTTTATTTTGTCCCACCGTGTTAGACTGGATTTTCTAGTGTTGTTCATATTCAATTTGTTTTTTAAACCAATTTTGTTTTTTTTGTTTTTAGGGGAACATCTATTCAGAGAAAAATACATTTTTATTTTCATCCCCTAATTTAAAAAATAATAAACATTAATCATTCACACTCTACGATGTTCCAAATAGCCATTATCTAAAATATATTATTCTAAATATTTTTACGCGCCATACATTCAAATCTGATAAATTATTGTCCCTTGGATAAGTCATTTTAATTTCTAGAGAAAACATGTGAAAAACGAGGCTGCCGCATAACGATACGGGGTCGAGTAGCTTGTTTACGTTATTGTGTTACAAATTAAAACGATTGTTACTAAAATAACTAACAAAGGGTCAATCGGATATGAATGTATGGCTGATTTAAATGTTTAGAATAATATATTTTGTAAATTTTGTTAAGCGAATTAATAGAAAGATTTATTTTTTATGTGATTAGGGGATGCAAATAACAATTTAATTGTTCTCTAAACCGTTTTCGTTCTTAAAGAAAAGCATATTGTAAAAAAAAAAAAAAAAAAAAATGTAATATTAACAGCTGTAGAAATATCCGTCGAATACGGTGGAACACCGCCGGTTTTTAAACGTGCGCCGCTCCGAGGTGACAAGGCCATAGGAGGGCTTAGAGGTCCGAAGCCTGTTTTTGAGGAGGCGTAATACATTGAACGTGAATATATTAAACCATTATTGTATTAACTATGATCGAAAACGCGAAACGTTCTCTGTTTGTAGAAATACGCAGTCAATGAAATATATGCGATAATAACAAATTGGTAATATAACATATATATATTTGTAATATAACAAATAAGGTAATTAATTTTCAATCTTAATTTAGAAAGAAAAAAAAACATATAGTTAATACTCTGGCAAAAGATCTCGCGGGAGACCGGTAAATTTCGCGGGTGAGGCCGCGACCTCCACTGTCTCCCCGTGCGGCCTATCCGGGCCGTATCTGCGGGACTTTGCAGTTTCTCATGCGTTCATACGCACTACGATAATTTATTTAGTGATTTTTCCCGACGAACAGCACGGAAAAACACAACAGTTGACCGGCGCAACGTGTGAACCCGACATCGTCCTACAACAACCGGGCGATCGTCTGTAATATTCGATTATTTCTCCGGGGCGCGCGCCGCCCTTGTATGTGTCACAGAAGAATTCTTCGGCCGCACGGTGTGCACGACAATAATAGCCGCCGTCACAACGCTGTAAAATATTTTCTGCAACGGCCCTTGTTGTGATCGCGTCAAAGTCTATTCGTTGCGCAAAGCGGCCGGAACTGCTCGAACTGTTCCTGGAAAGCACCCCGGGGCGATCCGCCCGTTGTCGTTGTTGTCGGGTTGTGAGTTTATTGATAACGTGACGAATATAAACGTTCAGAGTATAATCGCGACTATTAAATCGCTCACTTTTGCTATTTTAATGTGTTCCAAAATGGATTTTAAGATAATATAATTCCGGGCTTTACACGGAATATTTTACTTACACTACGCCGCTCGAACGCATTCTTCGGTTTCCGATTAATCCGACATTCGATCACTACGCGGATCTCCGTATCCCTTTATCGATCTTCACCGAATCGTAGGATTTCCATAGCCCGGTTACCCCTAACCGTCTCGTTTTCTGTCCTCCTTATTGCGACGTGTCCTAAACGCGCTGCAGCCACGTTTGTCCGTTAACGCTGATTAATCCGCGGTTTATCGTACACCCATCGTACTCGATCCGTATTGTGAACCTCCGCTCATAACGTTATTATTGTTTTCAGGTTCCTGGCCATCTGGTACCCGCTCAAGTGTCAGATCACCACCCGGCGCGCTCGGTGGATCATCCTGATTATATGGGTGGTGTCCGGGACCATAACCATACCGTGGCTGTTGTTCTTCGACATGGTGGCCATATTCAAGGACGCGCCCCACGTGAAACTGTGCCTGGAGGTGTGGCCGGACGGTCTGAACGGCAACATGTACTTCCTGCTGGGCAACATGGGCCTGTGCTACGTGGTGCCCATGGTGGCCATATCGCTGTGCTACATGATGATATGGATTAAAGTGTGGCGGCGGACGATACCGACGGACAACAAGGACGAGCAGATGGAGCGGATACAGCAGAAAAGCAAGGTCAAGGTGGTCAAGATGTTGGTAATGGTGGTGATACTGTTCGTCGTGTCCTGGCTGCCGCTGTACGCGATATTCTTCCGGATCAAGTTTGGCGGACGGCTGAGGCCGTGGGAGGAGGACGTGCTATCGGTGGCCACGCCGGTGGCCCAGTGGCTGGGCGCTTCAAACAGTTCCATCAACCCGGTGCTGTACGCGTTCTTCAACAAGAAGTTCCGGCGGGGGTTCACGGCCGTGCTCCGGAGCAAGAGGTGCTGGGGAACGCTCCGGTATAACGAGAACGTCTCGTCCTCGGCGGGTTCGTGGTCGGCCGGCAAGGCGTCGTCGTACTACATCACCAACCATCACGCGTACACCAAGCGGCAGGCCAGCCAGGAGACGAACGTCTCGTACATATTTAACGTCTGAACGAGTGTCCCGCACTCCGTAATTTTTCACTGCAAAACGGCGGCCGTAGCGGCCGCCGTCGTCGTCGACGCGAATCGACGGACGCCGCCGAACGGAACACGACATTATTTAATAAAATATTATTAAAAAATATACTACACTATAAAATATACTACTAATATACTACCTATAATACTAACTATATAATACTAATACCTATACGTACTACGATAATACATAACAATACAAATAAATAATTATTCAGTTTTTCCGCCCGGTTACCCGCACGTAATAATATATAATAATTATAATAATAATAATAATAATAATAATAATAATAAATGGAACAAAAAGTAATATACGCATAAAAATAATAAAAAAAAAAAAAACCTCCTTCAATGACGTCGGATGTGTTTGCCGGTCCGTCGGTGGGAGACGACATAATGCAATGTAGTATTGTAATGTTACAATATTATTATAAATCTCCCACCGACTACGTATTTATATTATATAATACGTACGAATGATAATAAAAAAAAAAAAAACTAAATTTGTTATCGTAAAATATTAAATCGTCTCCCCACGGCACTGTACTGCGCGCGTTCTATTGAAACGAGTTGAAATCGTTACGCGATTTTCGCATAGTAATTCATATTTTTAGATACAACTGCCTGAAAAAAAAAAATAACAAATTAAATTTTTAATATTGTATTGTATAGTTTACGTTATAATCATAAATTCGCACTGTTGTGTATTTTGATACATACACGATTAGAGGGTAGGTGTTCGATCTTGCATCGCGGTCCACCCGTCCATTGCTGCAATCTACCTTCTCCTCCACCCGGCACATACACGTCGAAGACATTTCCGGAATATTTTGTACATTTCTCTCATCCTCCACTTCATCTGCTGCCGCTGTCACTTTTACCGCCGGTATTTTGTATCAATACGAATTCCTTCCCGAAACCGTCTGTCCGGGCACAGCGAGATCTCGTGACGAATATGGGAACACGGATTACGAATATCGGATTGAACGGCAAACATTTTCACCCATCGCCCCCTCCCTCTGGGAATAATTTTTGGGACATCTTCCGCCCACCGGACGTTAAGAGGGCGATGCCTGAAAATATATTTTCCTTTCGTTCGCTTTCGCAACCCCCTCCCTCGACTGGGTTAAATTTTCTTTAGAATACGAATGCACTCCTTTTCCCCGATCTTCATAGCAAACATATTTTTTATTCTGAAGAAATCGATCTTAACCTGTAAAATATTTCAACGTTTGGTTAACCTAATCTAACCTAACCCTTAACCTAACGGTGGTGGACGAGTGACCGCGCGCGCTTTTAAGATAGTAAAAACAGAAAGAGAAAAGTATGTCGGAAGTGATTCGGAACGGTACAATTTCGAGGGGAAACTAACAGAGCCGTAATTTAATATTACGGTGAGGAAAGGCTTTATATTAATTTGGTTTAGAGCCGAGAAAATCGGTTTTAAAGGGACCGAAAAATCAATATTCGGTGAAATGAAAAAATTTTCCATAGTGAATCAATATCGTTACTGTGTTAAATTTCGCATCGAATTATTTGCATTTATAATGATTGGAATAGTTTGAATGAAATGGGGAAATTTTCGCGCCCCGTGAGTTAAATAATAACAATTTTGAATCGCTTATTTCAGAAACTCCCCAAGAAGAAGTACACTGTACTGCCGCGATGATTGAAATAATCGATAGTAAACCTCTCTCCCCCCTTATGTGGCTTATGTGATTATACTTATAGTGATGATGGATTTCTACGGTAAACGGACGTTTCAAGACCATATAGAAAAGAGGAGAGGGAACAGTTGATGGGATTTCCGTGGTAAAATAAACGGTACCCTTGAATCAACAATTAAGATGGATTGGTACCGGTTATCTACATTTTCTCCAATGTTCTAAAATTTCAAAAAAAAAAAAATTATATATTTTAATGGTCACCAATGATAATACTTTTCCTTTAATCTACTACCCAAAACCCATTAAAGGGGAGGGAGTACTGCCAAGAGCGGTTTTAGTTTTCTAAAGTATATTTTGCCGATTATACTGATTATGTTAGTTTACTTGAAATACTTCAAGTTCATATGAAATCGACGTTTTTACATTTTTTTTTTTTTTGTTAAATTATTCATATTTTAAAATTCTAAAAAAAAAATAAATTTTGGAAGGGATTAAATTTAATTTCAAAAAAATAGAAAGTCGTTTAAATAAATTTCATGACGAATTTAAGTATGTTTTTAAAAGTTAAATTGAATCCCTTTTTCGATACCGAATGTATTTACTATCAAAATAAACAAATATTACCTATACCAATTTGCCGAAAGTCTTATAAATTGGATAATAATTCTAAAACCATTTTCGAATTATCCCTGGAAACTACTTTTCTATCATTTTTTTTTTTTTTTGAAATTTTAAAACGTGATCAATAGTAAACAAAAAAATTAAGAAAGTAAACTCAATGCTAATTCAAATGTGTCTTCAAAAGTTTTTTTCGAATAACTAGTATAGTCGTTAAAGTTGGCAAAAAATTGATACTTCTAAACAACGAAAAATCTCCTTCACAGCCGTACCTCTTCCCTTTCAATGGGTATCGGAGAATAGATTAGCGGTAAAGCGAAATAATATACCGCGTTAAAATGTAAAAAATTTCGTTTTAAAATGTTACGAAATTGGAAAACATTGTTCGGGTAAACCGGCGCCAATCGCATACGGTTGATAAAATGTTTTATTTTGTTTTCTTTATGTATACGCTTTTGAGGGGGGTCTCTGAAATAAATTTAGGCGATTCGAATGCTCGGCACGGCTCTGATGGGAAAGCGGCTTTGAAGCTTATCGCGATATAACAATAAAATCGTACAACTTAAACGCATTACAATAACAGGATATATTATCATACTTCGGCACGCGTAAATACGGCGCATTCACGTTAAAATACGCATTCGGAACGAAATAAAAGCAACCGGGAAAAATAACAGATATAGGACACGGCAGTCGTTACGGCGGACACGACATCATTGTAATTATCAGTGGTGCTGCATATCGGCCGATATCACGCGGATATCGAGTTCACCCATCCCCGAAAACTCGTATTCGAATGGATTTGTTCCGATAGTAAACCGCATCTATTATCATTGGACCGGGGAAAAAAAACGATAAAAACCGTCGGATGATTTCAATCGGTACGCGTCATCGGTAAATTTCGTTCCATCTCGGTTCGCGGCTCCGCGAAATTTCGAAACCTCGCGGTTATCGCGATTCTATGCGCACAACCGTACAGTTTTAAAGTCCGAGTGAACTAACGCGAAAGTCGGATACCGGAATCGGCGCTAATTATGATAATATTATAATAGTGAAAACGCATCGACCCACCGCCCGCCCCACCCGCGCCCTTAGTATGTAACGATGCTTCGTGTATCGGTCGTGTTTACGCGAGAAAAATACAAAACGTACTCCAAATTAAAAAATAAATTCCCTATATCTTCAAAACGAATAAAAAGCTATATATATATATATATAAAAAAAAAATACTGTTTTTAATTTAAAAAAAATAACGAAATATGGGTAGTATTTGTCGTTTGATGTTGTACTCCCGCGATGATGCGCATGGCGAATCTCCCAACGACGTGTCGACGACAAACGACATATAATATACATTAAAAATTATTACCGTAATGTGCGTAAATATAAAATGTTGTACGTTATGTTTTATACCGTGGAATAATTTAATACGATAACACTACTTTTATTGTAATACTGTGTAATAATAACGATAAAAAAATAAATAAAAATAGAAAATAATAACATTGTACATAAAGTTTCGTTTTTAAGTGTAGGTAATAATGCGATAAACATTATAAATTGAAAACGCGTACCCGAGAGAAACAAAACAAATTTAACTCTACCGTTTCTTTATTTTCGATTTTGTTTTTCTACCACATGATGTTCGAGTGCACCGCGTTTTTCGAAAGAAATTTCTATCAAATCGATCCATCGAAAGATAATATTTTGGTTTTATTTTTTTAAATGCGAGAAATTCAAAGTTTAAGGAAATAACGTTTTCATTATATTATTTACGATTTTGTTTTACTATTGCGATTCTTACCAGAACTGACATTCCCACAGAATACTGTCACCGACCTTTTGTAGACGTAAAATATTCAACACATTATGGCGATGTTTCAAGTTACTTAAGTATTTGACATTTTCTAGTTTCTTTTTTTTTTTTTTGGTATTACGTGGGTTAGATTTGTTTTGAGCAATGAGAAATGCTAGACAATTGTACACAAGGTTTTTCATAAGTTGTACTAGTTGCTTAGCTAAGCGTAATGTAGTAGTGTTTTTTTGTAATACGCGATTAGTTAAAAATTTTAATGGAAACCGTAAACAAAACGTCAGTTCATATATTAGTTTTTATTTTTTTTTTTTCGGTTATGTTGGCATTGTATTTATAAATCAGTAGTTTCCCTACCATGAGGTTGAATTTTAATTTGTTGAAAAACTGAATGTTTCGAATGAAAAATTTGGTCCGAAGATCGATTTATGAGCTTGGACGCCCGGGATGAATATGAGGACAATGTCGGACCTGCTATCGGCTTTTTAAATGATGTACGAACTAAAATGGTCATCATTGTAAACTTTCTGAATTTTCCGTAATGTCTAGAAGGTGGGGAAACACTGATTTGGGCGAAGGGAAAAATAACATCAAATTCTCTTTATTGATTTGCACATTGAACCCAGAACGATAGAATTTTAAATAGTTTAAAAAACAAAACATTCGGGTTTTAATTAATTTATGTGCATCAGAAAAAATCAATAAGAGAGTATTCGGTAAAATACCGTGCTAATTTTTACGGTTTTTATTATAATTGCAACGGTATGCAAATAAAGTATAATGATTTCATATAAAATTTGATTATATGAATAAAAAGTGTGTTATATTTTATAATAATAGTTTCAAACCTCATCGGGCCATTTTTCGTGAGTTTTTTTTTTTCGTGATATTGCTACATATACACAGGATGTACATTAAAAAAAAAAAACACAAATGAGTAGCAGAGCTCCATTACTCAATCATTCGAATTTTCCCCCGCCGGTTTTGTATTGTAGAAATAATCTTTGTAAAACAATTTGTAACGGAATATTAAAATAATACAGTTATACTGAATTAAACCACATTATTATACTATTTAAAAAAAAAAAAATTGTAAAATAGTAAAATTTGAGCATAAAAATGTTAGGGTCGAGGATTGAATGTTAAAATCCTAAAAAACATGCACATTATTTCAGTATTCATCACACCGTATACGTATACAAAATAGCATTTCACCGGCTTTATATGGGGGAAGGGTACATATACTGTATAGGAATGTTTATCTAAAAAGACATACTCGTCCGACAACAATTGCACGGTGAAATTCAATCATCCAACTCGTATCACTTCAATCCTCTTATAAAACTACTCTGACCGACTGTGGACTAAAAATGTCCAAAAGTGTAATGCGTAGTCTATATTTTCGGGGGGAAACTCGACAAAAATGGCCCGGAGTTTAGTTTAAAATAGATAAACAATAAATAATATTACGCGCCTATGTCTAAAAGTATGGGATGGACCGAAGTCACGTAGTGGTTTGTTAATTTTATAATTTTACACCGAGTACCGTATTGTAATATTATATTTTATTTTCTTACGCATAAAACTGTAATACTGTTATTATAATATTAGTTGTCCGCATAAATATTACGCCGTTGGTCATAAAAACAATAACATAATATATAAATTAAGTTTACGTGTTGTAAAATAGCAAAAAAAAAAAAAAAATGAAAAAAAATGTTAAAAATCGTATTGTATAATTATAATAATTATTATTCATCTCCGAATTTACTCGCGGATATTTTTTTTTATTGTACATGAGAGTATAACAGTATCGCGAATTAGAAATTAGAAATAGCGTATACTACTAAGCGCCGAAAAATATTGATTGTTCACAGTTAATGATCCGTGTGTTCCTCGTTATAATATTGCATCGAAATTGAATATGAATCCAATCCGCTATTCGCCAATCCGATCGCCTCTCGATCACAGATATCCCGGGAGAAGAAACAATCACACACCGTGATATTCGAATGGACATTATTGTCAGGTTCATCCGTGATCGCTGGTCTTTACGGGTCAGTGGGCGAAGCTCTTACTGAGAACTAAACGTCTAACCGAGAAATAAACTAAGTTGTGCTCTTTAACACTCGGTCTTAAACATTTTCCATCATTTTCTAACAGCGTTCTCTTAGAAGGGATATAACGCAGTTGAATTTCGGTAACAGTATTGAATACAATCAACAAACCAAAACCAAAGAAATGATTGACTTTCTAGACTAAACTAACTTCGGATTTGGTTGTCTAAATTCGAAAAGGATTACATCCCACCCCCCTTTATCTCTAGTCCCGTCGGGCATCCAGTCGGATTGCATATTGTAGACGAGACAAATAAATTGTTTAATGAGGAACACACGTATGGTTGAGAAAAAAAAAATACTATAGATTATACTTGTAACAGGTATCTATTTAGTTCCGCGTTTTTACACGAGCAATAAGAAAAATGTAATTTTTTTTTTTAGATATATTTGCAAAATATCATAATTGTTATTGTTACACGTCATTTTATCGAATAAAAACACATTTGCTGTTCGGCGTTTTAGATAAATTATTAAAATAAAAAAATAATAAAAAAAAAAAACTGTGAAAATAAAAGGTTATGATTATTTGTAATGATATCATTAAGTTTATCGGTTAAGTCGACACGCGCTATGTTTCTACTATAATATTTATTAGTATTATAATATTATTATTAGAATATGTTTGGAAAAAAAAAAAAAAAAAGAAAAAATTGTACGTAGTCATAAGTAGCTCTTATACGTAATATTATTAATGGCCGACGACAGTTTTTATTTTTCGCGCGCGTTAATACACTATCGGTAAAAGCAAAAAATGTGGATATTTCAATATAATATATTATGATTAACATAAAAAATACGCAAATATAGAAAATTGTACTATATATTATTGGGTTTTTTTTTTTCTTTGCACACTCGCAATGTATTTGAATAAAAGTATCTAAACATTTTCAATAATTGATTTATTCCAATAGGAGGTGCTGACATTTATAAAAATATTTCTACGGAAATTACTATCGCCAGTGTATTTTGAATATTTTACAAATGTATTACAATTTAAATGGCCTATTTTAAACAGTTTTTGAAATTTTAACATATCTGGTTTCCATAGTGCAAATTAAAATGCCTGAAATTTTCACTTACACTATTAAACCAGTAGTACTATAAAAAAAAAAAATACACATATTAAAATGACATCTTGGGACTCTATGGGAAAATATTAATAGGTAAACAAAAAGTATTTGAAAGTATGTGACATTCGTATTCATATAATACTTTCCACGGGAGAACCGGGGAAAACGGGAAAAACGGGTACATTGAATAAATATATAATGCCTACGTAATTATTTTACCATAATATGATATATATATATATTGTTGACAAAGCATCACTATCAACTGAACTCCGCTCAGATACGTTTTTTTTGTTATCAATGGTTATCGCTGCTTACAGGTTCGAGATACCTATAACAGTGGCTGCACCCGTCCCCATTATCCTAGGACAGCTCTATTTATATTGGTGCGGAAAGGCCGTGTCCAAAATGAATTCATTTTTTTCGGCGCAAATGGATAATTTCTCAACTGAAATGGTCGGTTGGGCGCTCAGGAAGCGACACATATAACTAACAGATTATATTAATTGTTTTTAGAATTGATTATGATGCTTCGACCGTTTATTACGAGTATAAAATATGCCATAAATTACAAATTGCAATCGAGTTTTTTTATTACCATTTTGCTACTTGGTGCACATAAAGTTTTTTTTAAAAAAAAAAAAAAAAATGTATAAACATTTTACTGCAGTTTGCACATTTGTGTTTTTGATATCGTGATATCGCAATATTCACACGGACAGGTAATAATAATACGAGATAATTCTCATTTAAATGCACAATATATATTTGATTCGATGATAATAATAGTAGTCGGTAAATAATACAATGATAATATGCTGTTAGTATAATATATAATGATAATACGTGTAATAATAATAAAAAGTTGTAATAGTAACCCAATAACCCAAATATTGTCATCCCAATAACAAAAGAAACGTAGATAATATAAATCTAAAAATAAAATATAAAGAAACATAAATAATTACATTTTTTTTTTATTATTATTATTATTATTAGAGTTAATCAATCTCGGTGGATCTTACTTATTGTTTGCGTCTCTGTCTCTTCCAACTTTGCTGTACGTCCTCTTCTTCCCGGCCGTTTTTTTTTTTTAACTTCTTTGCGATGATACAAAACCATTGTATACATCCGATTCCCGCGCGTTTCGAACGGGTCACCGTGTAAAACATCAAGCGATTATTTGAATGTTAACTGCGCTGGTTTTACTCGGCAATTCGTAGATTTCGCAAGCCGCAATAGTAGCCGCTTGTTTGGCTATGACGTTGATAATTTTTTAAACGAATGTCAATGATAATTGCAGCCGCGGACCGCAGGGTACAACAACTCGTTGCAGGCAACACGTTTACTTTGGTCCTTTGGCGAATGTCGGGTATTCCGCTTGAGTGTACAATACCGTGTTTGCGTGAAAGACGTGCTGAAGTGGGCGGCCGCGATTCGTCGTTCATTTTGGTCGCGACGTCCGCGTTCTATATTTGAATACGGGCGGAGTTATGCCACGTACGGATCCGTTGTACATTTTTGTGACGGAGGTTTGAGAGTGGACAGAGACGATGAAAACGTTTGATCTTTGGATTCATAATGCGAACCGTGGGATAATTGTGTTACGATGATTGAATTACGCAAGAGTAGTAATGTAATGTTATGTCAAATGAATGACAGATTCATGCAGAGCCGTACTCGGTTGTTTTGCCGGACTCCGGGCAAACTGAATCTTTTGAAACCCTATAATTTTTTAGGGTTCGGACGAATTTTCAAGGGAACATTTTTTTCGCAAGTCCGGGCATCTTAAAAATAAGCTTAAGGACCGGGCCCCGGACCCGATAAAATCGGTCCGAGTACGGCCCTGGATTTTTATATTTTATTTATTCTACGGTTTGTACAATTATTATTATTTTTTTTTTTTTTTTTGTACTTGAACGTTTATATAAATATTAATAATAATATAAAAATGTGCTAATAATAATTAAAGGCTATGATACATATGCACTTATAATATTTTACGTAATATAATAATATAATAAGTGATACCTAAGTTAATACCTTTTAACTCGTTAAAAAAAAATCTAGATTAATATAAGCGAATCAAGTTTAAAGTCAACAATTTTTTTTTTTTTTATCGGTTCATATAAAATTAATAATTTTGTGACTGAAACTGTGCGGTAAACTACCCGGGTAACCCCGAGTGCGGCAATTCGTTAGACCCGAATCATGGCGTTGCGGCAGACCGCGTGCTTGGCCATCCTGTCGGTCGACGTCGAGGCTGCGTATAGTAACCTGCTGCAGAAGACGGACATTAGTAAGGCTCTCTTGGACTGACAGTGTCCCCCAACGTCGGGCGTGTGTCGGCTGACGACGAGGGCGGCCCAGGGGGCCTTTCCGGCGGCGCCGAGGTGGCCGCCGACGTTAAATGGGAGTCCAGGCGGAGTCCCGGATAACGCGGATTCCGTATGACGGGAACTGTGCGGCCTCGTACCGTCAGCGCAGGATTGCGAAATGACCGTTTTCACGACAGCACGACGGCCACCGTCTGGCGATGAGCCAACCGGAGCCCGCGTTGGCCCATCCGCGCGTCAATATTTATGATTGTATTTAACCCAACATCAGTACATTTTATGGAAACAATAACGTTTAATATTTAAGTAATAACAAACAATATCTAAGCTTCGCACAAATACAACTGCGTATAATATACGTAGTCTGTATTGTAACAATAATAATTATTGCTAAATTTTTTTTAAATTCCGATCATAACGAGGAATGTATTTAATAATATTTGCGTTTGGGGGAATTTTACTGGCAACACAACGGTTAGAGTAGGTCCGTTAATAACTCAAAATTCATATTTATTGTCGCCAAGTAGGTAGTAATAATATAGTTATTAATGTCGATTTCTTAGCACAGTACGTTAACGCCTTTAAATTATAATGCTATTGTCACTAATACGAATTATGATGCGTACTGTTGCTCGACACGGGAAGTCAATTATACGAGTAGATCGTGCGAATGCGTGCATAATTATTATGTTGTCAGTGTCGTTGTTTTCGAAAGGATGATAATTATTAATTTATCCAAAGTGATAAGCGCCAATAACGATTAATATGTTCATTAAAACAAATAACGGTTTGTTTCTTGTTATCGATATTTGATTAACGGTGAAAAAAAAAATATGATAGAATAGATACCATTAAATAATAAATTATTGATGTAATGGAAGGAATGCTTCGAAACAAAGTAATATCGTATTTGTGTGGAAAATGGCATTGCCAAGTGTTTTCCTCTTTCTTTAACGGTAAATTAAGGACTATAAAATTGAATTTTTTATAACAAAAACTATTTTTGAAAATCTTTTCTATACAATTAAATAACATATATATGTACATAAATATATATTCTTTATCTTTTAATTAATTGTTTCTTATTAGTTATTTCTTTCGTCGCCTAGTTTCTTAATTCATTAAGTTTTTTTTTTTTTTTCAGCAATTGTTATCACACTTTTCTTGTAGACGAAAAAAAAAGTAAAAACTGAAAAGTAAACATACAGACACGAATGTGTATAAATATAAAATAAATAAATGGTAAAATGTATTTTTATTTTTTTTTTTATTTTTATATTTATTTCTTATTTAGTTACGACACTTTTGTTCATTAAACCCTTTGACCCATGCATTAAGTTTTTGTATGTTATAATCATAAGTGGCAGCCGCCTCTCCTGCGACATTTTCCACTAAAGTTAAAGTTTATTTGAAACAAATTATGTTAAATATGCATTTTTTTAGTACATCCAACACATTCCGTTTGGTTTATAGATTGATGGAACTTGGGGGGTTCTGCCCCCTTGGAATTCAGTTAAGTACCCATCCAACAAATAAAGCAAATACTAAGAATATAAAATCAATATTATGAAGGAATAAGGGCTCCCTCCCGAAATAGTTTAGCTTTTTGCACCTAATATGATTTTGTGTACGGTTTATTGATGTCAACGCTCCTGCCTCCCTGCTTAGAGAATAAAAACGAACTGCCTTTCAGACAATGCATCTATACCTAAACAAAAATTAAGTTCAAAAGGTTATGCCACATTTTGATTTAAAAAAATCGAAAACTAAATGTCTTATATGCTTATTACAAGTGTCATGTGAAAGGGATTAAGAGAGCATTGTCCCAATGGGTCTGTCGTATGGTAATGACATTTTTGAAATATCGTCGGATTTGTCTAGTCATTACGAATCATAAAGTTTATTTGAATTTTATCTGACTAAAAATTATAGCCGATAACAAGTTATGATTTAACGTTGCTTTCGTTGGATGCGTATGTTTATAAGTCGAAAATACCAAAATAAATAATTCGATTCGATAATTTAAAAAAAAAAAAAACCAAATATTTTATTATATTAAGATTAAATTTTTATTTTTATTTTCAACATTGGAATTTATCATTTTGTCAAAATCAAGACTTAACAATTTAATACATTTATTATAGGTTTTTTTTTTTTAATTTTTTAAAAATAATAACAATTGAATTCTTTTCGTTTTTTTAGTTTTCTCAGATTTTTTAATTAATTTATACTTATCATTATAATATTTTATTGCATCTGTTATAAAGCGAATTTCATATTTATATTTTAACTATTTACATTCTATGAATAATTCTTTATTTTTATATACTATTAGAATATTAGATTTTTTCCAATCCAATAGGTTTTTTATTGTGTTCCATAAATGGCGTTTTTTAGTATCACCTAAATTCAATTTCTCTATTAATTCGCTTTTACACAACCGTAATTTATTTGTTTTTATACATTCATCTAATATTTTTTCTAGTTTTTCTTTTAAATCTATTTCAGTTTTTTCTTTTAAACCTATTTCAATATGTGTTCTGTTCAATAATGGTTCTGGTATAAAAGGCTCTAAATTGTACATACTAGTTAAATCATTTTTCAAAAATATATTAAAATTTTCAAAATTATTGTTTATGCTTGTTATTACTGAAGTTATGATTTTTAGTAAGTAATCATAATGAATAACAAATATTTCTTTGTTTCCATCTCTAAAAGCATCAAATAAACTATGAATTAATTTTTCCACTTTAAGAGATTCATAAACTGGTTCACAATAACAAACATAAAATAGATCTTGTGAATTACGCGCCACATTAAAATTTACTAATCTTAAAGCAGGGTCATTAGTTTTACCTATTTTAAAAGTATTACATTTAGCATATGTTTTAGTAGTGGCTATATATATGTAACCATCTTTCTTTTTTTCATTTTCATTATTTATAGAATTTTTCATAATCATAGTTTGTTCTTTTAACTCATTATTTTCTTCTTCTATTAATTGCATTTTCTTAGAAAACTTTTCATTTAATTCAGACAAATCTTTTTCTTTTTCATAGGAGAGACATGTATTTTGAAGTTCAAGAAAATAGTTTAATATTTCTTCATTATTCAACAGCATCATTGCTCGTTTAAACGAATTTATTGATAATATAAGCCATTTTTTACTACACGATGTGCTGGTACCTGATTCATTCCTTATTATACATTCATAGTTATTTATTTTATCATTTCCAGAATCTATTTGTTCATATGAAATATCATAGTTGTTTAAAAATGATATAAAATCGTTTAGGTTTTTTTCATATTCGTTATTACCAAATCCCATGCATTCCAATAAATAACGTGTTATTAATATTTCATGTTTATTAAGTAATGGAGTACACAACTCTGAAAATAACATATTTTCAGATAATTTCAATTTATTTTCTGTCATATATTGGTCTATGGTCAATGATTTATTAATATCTTCCATTTTATAACAAAATTAATTTATAAATTTCAATTTAAAAATTACGCCCTTAAAAAAAAAAAAAATTACATACAAGTTAATCTAATTTTTTTTAGCAATTATTTCAATAAAACTAAATAAAGTAAATTCGATTTTATAATTTAAAAAAACCCTAGACTATTATTTTATATTTATTTAAAAACTCTATAAAATGTATTTTAGAGTATCTAAAATCGTTATCGTGACTTCAGTCGTGTATATCAAGTATTACTTATACACCTAATACACCTGTACTTATATAACTTATACAAATAAAAAACATAATTAAAAGACAAATTTATCATGAAATATTTAAATTTACAGAATTGACACAAATATTAAGTTTAATATTAATATGTTTTTTTTATAATATTTTAAGCACCTAAATACTTACTTGGGATTTTTTGATAGTCTTCTTTTTGATATAGGTAATCAGAATAATATTAATACTTGCTATTATTTGAACATTTAAAATACAATATGAGCACAAACCATCTGAACGGAAAAAATAACACTAATCGAATCATAGTATTGTGCTATCATTTTGCGGAATGATCCTCTTGTTCCGTGATGCGCATAACCAAAGATAATAATATTGGTATGGATATACGAGTACACATCCGGTGACGTGTGTCCACGAGTCACTGGCGGCAGCCCGCCAATTTTAATTTATACATATGACAAGTTAGTAATTTAACAAAGAGAACAATGCCGTTAAATAATAATATATTGACATGCACTACCCCAGCTTCACCGATTTAGAATTTTTAACAAATTTCTGCACTGACGTTTAGTACGTAATAAAACATGTATGCACATTTTGAAAATGTTCATGACCTTGGTATTCACGTTATTGCAAAAAACAAAATGAACATACACGATACACCCCTCAATTCATATTTCATGGTTTTTATTGTTATTACTGGGGAACCATTGCTTAAACACATTTCGACTCGTTGTGCGACTTTTCTACTTTATTAATTGTTGTTTGCATCTTCTGAAATTTAATTAAACATTATTCATATTCAATTAAACAAGACAAACAAAAACTGCAATTTCATTTTGGGTTGTAGGTGTTTTATCTATCAGTAGTATACATGTATATATGCAAGGATGGCCAGATTTTTAAAATGTAATTTAGGTATCTAACATCTGAAAATATTTAACAGAAATTATAGTTGGATTATTCTTCCCTGATCTCTGTTCACGTTATTTTCTGTTCTTTGTTTCACATACTTTAATTAAATAATATTTCAAAAATTTAATCAAAAAAAATATTTAAAAATTTAATTTAATAATATTTAAAAAAATTAATTTTCGATTTCTATTCATATATTTTAAATTTTTTTATTAGCACCGCGTGTGCAACAGATAAGCGTTGCATACAAATTAATAGTGATTAAGTAGGTCATAGTCCGTTCAAACCACATTTAATAATATTTTTTTTGTTATTAAAATATTATATACCCACCTATAACATTACAATTTTTATGGTTTATAAATTTATTTCTATCTTTTGGAATTTAATCAAATTTCTGTATGTTAATAAAGATTGTATTTTGAAGGTATATCTAAAATTTGAAATCAATCGATCCATAGGAATCTAAAATCCTTTAGTAATCCCATTAAGCAAAATTTGATCACATATTTTAAAAGATTCTCTAAGCTTTATTAGGGGTAGGTGAAAACAGAATTGAGCTGATGATTTCTAGCTGAGATACTCAAACTCCAAAATTCCCAAAATTGGAATACCCAAAAATCGATTTTTAGTATGTAGTGTTATAGATGGCTTTCTCAAAAAGATATTGAGAAGGGGGAAACCGTTTTACTACAACTACTGTAAAAAGTCCAAATTTTGATAACGAAAAATACTTAAGCAAAATAGAAGGAAATATATAGTTTGATAATAGTTAAATTATGAATATTCCTAGATTGAACTACGTATCGTATATAAGTATTGTATATTGAACAATTAAATAGTGTTTTAAAAATGAATCTGAAAGTTTCCGATACTGATTTAATTGAAATTAAAAATTATGAAAATAATTTTATGCTCAATAATAACCTTTGTGATAATCTAGGAACTAAGTTTGATAATTTTTCAAAAATTGGAATTTATCCACAATATGCTACCATACAAAGATTACTAACAAAAATTATATATTTTTAAACGCCAATGTCACGGAACAACGCTCACACAAATTGTTAAAACGGTTATACAAATTTATACAAATTAAGTATTAAAATGTAGCGTAGTCAAACCCAATTATATATAATTTTTAACCATGAGTGGAGCTGAAATTGCATCACCCTGGTTCCACTCACAGTTTTTTTCGTTATCAAGTGAAAGTCATGTTCATACAAATTCATACAATTACATACTTACAAAATATCTGTGTAGACATTTTTTAAAAATTCTAAATGGGTGGAGCTGGGGCGATGTTCGTAACATATTGTCTTCTCCTCTGAATTTTCGAAAGTGGATACTCTTAAACATCACTATAATTATTATTATCATCCTCTTATATTAAATAAATAAAATAAATTCCATCCACATAGAACAACGCGATTATTATGATAATTACTCTATTCTCCACGGGTCAAGTTCAGGAAAAATAAAGAAAGTGAAAACAAAAAAAAACAAAAGATTAAGTTAAGTATAGGTATCTGAATTGGTTTTTGTGTTTTACGAAGGATGTATCCGAAATGGTTCCCTATAATTAAGGTGGCATATTATATCCAAATTGATTCCTGATAAAGACTTTCGAGACTTTTGGGTTTATCGAACACTTATTGAAATATTAGATTGATAGTTATAAAATTAATTTATGATTTTAAATTATATTCAGTAAATTGACAGCAAAACATTACTATTATTATTAGGTACTTCTTGGATTCACTGTTTTAAAGGCTTACTTTTTTTTTTTTTTTTTACTTTAAGTACTTTTTTACCAGAATCTTGATCCAATCAAAAATAATACGAGACCATAATTATTGAATTTGTCTAGTTGGTGTGAATGAGGCGTAATTTTTAAACATTTTTTTGATTTTTATTTTCTACCAGATATCTTGTTCCGGATTTCAAGAGTAGCACCTTTTCTGAAAGACAATTCTGTCTTGTTGGTACATCAAAAGATTATTTTTTGAATTTCTTTATCGTTTTCTTAAAAATTAGGAAGAACCAGTAAAAATGTAAGGAAAACGGTAAAGTGGTTGTAATTCTTATAAAAGTAACTGTAAAGGCTTGCAATTTTCATAGAATACTTATATTAGTGTTATTTTAGTCTTGATAAACATTTAAAAACATTTTGTCGATTTTCAAGCAATTTATAGGCATTAAACATTTTCGAATGTTTTTAAAATTTTATTTGGTTTTTATGCAGATAAAATTGTTTTCCTCAGAAATGCTTGAAAATGTAATTCAAAGTTTATTTTAAGTTCTACTCAGAGATCAAAACAAAATAGTTGAACTTTAATTAATTCTAAGTTTTTTTGTATAAGTGTTTTAAACTAAAATTTTAACGGAAAAATTACTAAATTTCAAAACAACTGAATTATTTTAGATTTTGAGCGAAGTGAGGAATGTATTGGTTTTGCAATGATGTTTATTTTTTTTCCTATCTGTAACCAACTCTTCTCCTATAAATCTTGCTCCAATCAATACATGACAAGTCAAGATCTTTTTTATTTTATTTTGGCTTTAGTTATAACTTTAGAAAGATAATTTTTTTCAAATTCTTGTTAATATCCGAGATAATGAAGAAAAACTGGTTCTTTAGATTAAAAAAGATATAAAAAGATTAAAACTAAGTTCGTCATTGGCAACCGTTATTATATATTTTTCGGAATTATTAAAGTTCTATTATTTTGGTCTTTCAATCTCTTTTAAACAATCGTTGTAAAACGCACATTGTTGAAAGAGCAATACTACAGAGCCCCATTCAGTATCATTTTTCGTTAATCGTTGTTTACAGATAGAAATTAAATTCCTTTCTATATCCTACCTACTCAACTTCCCACCAAAAACAGAGTGTGCACCCATCCCCTAATATCAGCCATTTTTTTTTTTTTTTTTACATTTACTTTTTATCTTTACTTGCTATTTTTATTTTATTTTTTTTTCACTACACTCACATTGTCACTCCAAGTTATACATAGTTTATTAGAAAAATCAGTAACTTGTAACTTAACCAGTTACTATTTGTGCATGTGTGAGAGTAACTTAACGACTTAATTTATATTTCAACCAAAAAAGTTACAAGTTAGTTTTCATCATTCATACATATATACAGATATATCTAATATGAAATGGATGAATATGAATGGATGAAAAAAAAATTCAATGTGATATCATTTTGACTTTTGATTCCCGCCATATGACATAAGTATATATGATTTTTTAGTTATTTCATTGCCAATTTTTAGGTGTTGATACTTCAAATACATTATAAGAAATTTTTTTTTAAAAATGCCGATTTTGCTAACTTAAAATGCGTTTATATAACTGTCCGAAGTTATCCCTCATTTATCATATTTTCGGAAACCCTATTTATTTTACCTGCTAATCATATTATAGGTCGAATTTTGAGACGTTTTTAAAAAAAAATATTTTATTATAGTTATCATAGTAAGATAATAATATGACACTGTAGTTATGATAAAATATTACAATATTACATTTTTATTAAATAAAAAATACACAAAAATAAAATAATATTACAATAATAATAATAAATAAAATCGTTTTTTACGATTATTATGACATATTATACTATAGGTAATATTATATATCATTACAATAATTATTATTTAGCATTACGATGTATTAAAAACTATTTATTTTTTTTATTTTTTTTTTTTTTTTCAAACGATGGGAAGCAATATTATTATTACATGTGGTAGGTAAGTATGACAATTTATTGTAAATAATATATTTTTGAAATGTCAAAAAAAAAAATAAAAGAATCAATAATAACAACAATAACAATAACACAATATACATATATGTAATAATAATATAATACGATTTATTGTGATTATTGTCGTTATCGTGTTATTTATAATAATATTACACAACGCAAGTATACGAAACGGAAACGAAAACGCGATCGGACGACGATAGACACGATGTTATTTTCGGAGTGTGTTTGTGGGAGGAGGGGTGGGGGGTGGGGAGGGGAGGGGAGGATGATAAATACGATGAAAACGGCCGCGTCCTGTCGCAATAGCGTATAATACACGACGATTTTTGTGATCGCCGTCGCCGCGAACGGGCGTTTTCTTCGGTTTCGCGGGATATTCGACGGAATACCGTTCCGAGCGTAGAAATATATTTAATAATTACGTGGCCCGGCCATCGGATCTCGGACGGCGAAAACGACAGACGGTCTCGCGACTCTGCGCAGCAATAACATCCGATTGTCAACCATCGTATTGTATACTTACGGCCCCCCCCCCACCCGTTTTACCGGGTCAAAATAATATTATCGTGTTCGATAACGTTACGGACTAATGCGCTACGTTTAATTCACGAGACGATAATAATAATAATAATAATAATAATAAC